ACTATGAGTAATACTGTAGTAGGTACTGTATAAGCACTGTTTTTTGTAGTCTTTTCATCCTAATATTGAACTATACTATAAATTATAATTCCTTATGTCTTTGATATGACACATTTTATTTTTAGTTTATGCTAAATTTTCATTAAAAGGTGAGAGTTTCAAGCTCGATTTTCAGTAGAACATGCTCCACTCAGAGGGGTGAGGAAAGCTATGTTTCCAAAACCTTTGATCCCTTGTTAAGTAGGGGTGCGGATGCCTGAGGCACCTCATCTTCTCATTTCGTCATTGTTAGGTTAAAGAATTTGGCTTTGCATGCGTTGGTTTCATCGCCAAACAAATTGTTTATTACAAGTTTAGAAGCTTACGTTTTTTTCTTAAATTTCGTGTCTAGTCAAATATTTGAATAATTTATTTTGTAAATTGATTGGTTTTCTTGTGTCCAGAACTTTTTCAGTTGGATGATTCTTGATTGACTTGTTACCCCTCTTTTATTGTCCTCTTGGGTCAAGCATTTTCTTGATTGCCATAAGGATTTCTGAAATATTAGTTGACTTTTTCTTTTCTTGTATTGGTATTATTTTATTATTCTACTGACAATTATGTTTAAATATATTATAAATAAAATAAAAAGTACTGAATTTGCATGTGCTTTTAGAGAAGTTGGTCTCCAAGCAATGGTGGTAAATTTAAAAATTGTCCCTCTTTGCTCTTTTTTGAAAATCAAATTACTAGAGAAATTTTTCTTTTTATATTTGTGTAGGGTAAAATAATGGTCAAATTACTTTTTCTTTTTCGAGTTTTACATTCTAACGATAAGTTTTTTTTTTCAATTTAAATTATCATCTATATATGTATTAAAATACATAACAATTATTAATTGTTCCTCTTTTTCTACATAAATGATGGTGACATTTCAGGTAGGAAAATAAAATAACAGATAGCTAAAGTATGAAACTTGAGAACAAATAATAGTTCATATATATTTTTGACCATTAACTCTTTTCTACTTTCCATCACTAATTTTACCCATAAAGGTTTTAAGCAAATTGAAAAAAATTGTCTAGTATATTTATAACTTCTTAAGATTGTGTGACTTATTTATAAATCATCGATTAATCTTTGTAGTAATTAATATGATAATGTGGTTAAACAAATCAAGGAGAAATTGATATTTGCATTATTATTATTTTTAAAAATATCTACACCATAGGAAAAACTAAGGAAAACGATAAACAAAAAAGATAACTACCCTTGATTTAATTATTGTGATTTATTATGATGGAACTTAAAACCTTAAATTATCATGAAATAATTGTCATAATTTGTCATGAAATAATTGTCATAAATTGTCTAGGTTTTGTTAGATTGCAATAATTGTCAAATTATAGGAGTTTGCTTAGAGTAGTTTAATTATAGAACTAACTTCCACCCATGTTAGGGGAGGTTATTTCAACTTTCAATATCAAGTTGTTGATTAGTTATGTGAAAAAATGATGATAAATATGAAAGTTAAGTAGGTTGAATAATGACAATCATATAGGAGTATGGTGGAACAAATAAGATCTTTCGACTTTCAAGTAGAGGTATCATATTCGAATCATGAGAATTAAGAAATTCCTTCTATAAACAACTTATCTCCTTTAATAGATTAATAAGGTCACTAAGTTCTGAATATTAGAATCATAGGTTTAGGCCTTAAGGTTCAATCTCTAGGAATCGAGGAACTATTGGTACGAATCTAAATTAGTTGGGTTGGTAAATTTTGAATACTCGAACCAGAGATTCATGGTTCAAACCCTGAGAATCGAGAAACTTTTCATAGGAAGCATTTTTCCTTTTAATAAACTCTACGTAGTGCTAATCAAAATTAGTTGAATCGGTGAATTTCAAATGCTAGAATCAATGATTTAGTGTTCAAATCCTAAAAAATGAGAAACTTTTGATAGGGATCAAAGTGGTTATTCCTTTAATGAATCTTACATAATATAAATCTGAATTAATTAGGTCATGAAAGCATGATTATTAAACGATTGGTTGAATTATTCTTAGGGCCTAGTTTGGTAAATTTAGTTAGGTATATATTTACACGATAATTGGTATTACATTGAAACGTGAAAGGCAGGTAAAATCATTCTCCTTTGATGAAATTTTTGTTTATAAGTTACACTAATTTAAATTCATGTCATGTAAATTTCATTAAGAGAGACGTTTTCTATAAAAGTTTTTTTTATTATAAGATTCGAATTCAAGATTTTTTTCATTCATCTCATCACACTCCTTGATAGTGCTTCATATTTTAAAAGGTTTTTGGGTATTCATCTGGGACTTGCTCCTACACAAAATAAATAGTCGAAATCAAATACTATAAATAAAAGTTAATGGTCAAAAACATATCAAGCTATCATCTTTTTACGAGTTTGATACTTCAGCTATCCAATGTTCTCTATACCTAGTTGTTTAAACTATTAGTCTATTTGCAATTAAACATACCTCAATGCCGAGTTGATCAATATTTGTTTCCAATTAACAACAGGCGTGTGCGGATCAATCATTATCAAAGTGTATTTACGTTTAATTGCAAAGGAAGTAATAGTTGAGATGACGATAATTTAGATAAGTAAATAGAATAATGGATATGGTTAAGATAAGTAAATAATAAATATGTGACAGTTAAGATATACTTTTACCATTAACTCTATAAATAATAGTCAAAACTCTTAGAAGGATTAACTTAAATAACAGCTCACTCGATCGTTTAAACTAAAGATAACTGTCACTCTGTTAGATATATAATATATTTATAATTATGTAAAATTAGTATATGATTTATATATACAAGCTAGAAAAAATACTTAACAATAAATTTGACAGACTATTTATGTAAAAACCCCAAACTTTTAATTAATGTACCAAAACCCTACAAGTTTCAACATTTCTTTTTCTCTTGTTTTACTACTAGCTATAAAAATAAATGTGCCCCCACAAAATTTAAATGTGTGTAAGGGAAAAAGATGAAAAGAAAGAATACAAAAGTTGGAAATTGCCAAAACCAAGAAATTTTGTGGTGAAGAAAAGTATAAAGCCAAAAGAAAGGAAACAAAGCTACAATTAAAAAATCTACTTGTCTTATTCAGCCAAACGTGCACAACTTTTAATATTTCTTTTTTTGGTTTTTTTCTCGGAGAGTAATATTCATATTGAAGTTTGATTAAATATAAATTTTCATTGAAAAAATTCGTATGAGGGGTGAAACTCACTCTAACAGAGATGACTCTATAATAAAGAGGACTCAAATTCAAAATTTCTAATTAAAAATAAAAAAATATTTATCACTCGACCATAATTCTGTGAGTGTTGACTATTGATCAAATCTGTTGATATTACTTGTACGATACAACAATAAATTTTGCACCAAACCCCACCACCTCAATATCATTTTACTCTATTACATACAATATATAAGTAAAAATCACAAGAATTACCAAGAGTATTTGGTAAGATAGTTAATATTCTTTTTTTGTTTTTTATCAGAAATCTCAAGGTTTTGGTATAATCGGAAGTGGATATAATGTCGTGATATCGAATTTGTTTGAACCAATATTCTTTAAACTCTATAAATTTATTTGAAACTTTTTACTAATTAGTGTTCGGTTTAAACTATTCTTGTTGTGTCAATATTGCCATCATATTTAAAGCTTCTTGATGTCAGGGGTATTTAATTACCATTTTGTTAGGTTAACGATATAATTAAATAAATAAAAATGTGTGTTTTTTAATGTCTTTAAATTTTTATATGAAATGATTACATTTAATATATATATATTTCAGCTTATTAATATAATATAGAGTAGACGTAGATTATGTATTCGGGTCTCCTTGTTATTCATTATCAAAAAATAGTTTTCATTTGTTAGCTCATAAAAAAGAATTAAGACTGCAAGTAGACAAACATATAAAAAAAATTGTCAAAATGAACTGAATCAATAAATAGGTAATCAATTGACTTTATTGAAAAGTTACTTACAATGAAATGAATTAAATCAAAATAGGTTAACTAATACATCATAATTTAAATCATTCGATTCTTATCAAATTTTGTATTTAATATACTTGTTTGTTATATATATAAAATAAAAGATTTTGAACTCAAACAGGTCAAAATAGGCTGAATTATATAATATTCAAGTTATTGACTAGTTAGAACTAATGAGTTAATTATATCACTCTAATATGAGTGTTGGTTACACTCCTTAATATTATTTTTTTCAAAAATAGGAATAAAGGAAGGAAAAATGAATAAGAGATTAAAAAATAAAAAATCGACCCTCATCAATCAAGTTACTAAGATTCTCACACACCTCAACACATAACTTAGCTCCACCACTTTTTTTTTTTTTTTTTTTTTTTTTCCAAATCGACCCTCATCAATCAAGTTACTAAGATTCTCACACACCTCAACACATAACTTAGCTCCACCACTTTTTTTTTTTTTTTTTTTGCTTCCCATCAGCTATTCAAATTGAATTTCAATCGACTTAGAATTTGATTTGCGCATTACATAATTTATTTTTAAAAACGGTGCATCCAATAATATTTTCTTGGCATAATACATAAATATGACATTTAACTTGGCATCAGCTAGCAATTATGACCTTTAATTTTGGATGTGCACAAGCAAACACTTAAACTTGTATAAAATTAAGCAAATGGACACATTCGTCCTACATGGCACCCTACATGATAATTTTGTGTCCTACGTGGCATCCTATGTGTATTATGTCATGTAGGACAAGTTTGTCTACTTTTTCAATTTTATACAAGTTTAAATATCTACTTGTGCACACTTAATGCTGGAGGACATAGTTATCCGTTGAAGTCAAGTTAATGATCATGTTTATATATTATGCCTATTTTCTTCCTACAAGACTTGAATTTAAAATCTCTAATTAAAAACGGAAAAATCCGGATACCAAATACCTAAAGAAAAAGAAAACAAAAAATGTACTCCATAATCACCATACCATATAAAAACTGAAAAACTAGAAAGAAACATGGCAAAGGAACAAAACCACACCTTCTCTATCTTCTCCATTACTCCAACAACAAACACACAAAGTAACAACAAAAACAAAAATATACACACACAAAGAGAGCAAAAAGTCATAAGAATATGAAGAGTTTATTTTCAAAACCCATTTCAAGTCCTAATCGAGCAGAGAAATTTCCACCGCCATTAATGAGGTTCTTAAGAAGCAATGTTGGAAGCAAAAGCAGCAGAGCAAGAACACGAGCTAGCCCTATGTTTATGCGCAAAAACAAAAACAATATCGCTATTGAAAAAACTCAAGAACCTTCTTCCCCAAAAGTCACTTGTATAGGTCAAGTTCGTGTTCGCAGATCCTCCAATAACACCACAAAAAAACATCAACAAATAGAAGAGAAGAAAACCCCAAAAACAACAACATGCTGCTGTAAATTCCAATGCAAAATCATTAAATTACACAGACCCAAATCGTTGATTTCAAATTTGAAGAAATGGGTTTGTTGTTTCCCATTTGGGTATTGTGTAAAAAAAGTCGAATCAGCTCAAAAAGTTCAAAAAATTGTTACAACAAATGCCGAAATTGCAATTTCTGAATCAGAAGAAAATGAAAATGGCTATGCAGATTCTCATATCAATCCACCGAAAAATGCTTTGATTTTGACTCGATGTAGATCAGCACCTTATAGATCTTCATCATTAGCTAGTAAATTCTGGGGTTCTCCATTGAACAGTCAAAATCCCCAAAATAATATTCGAGAACTGGAGGAGGACGAAGAAGAAGAAGAAAAACCTCCTCCAGTTCTCGAAAAACCTATAATTGGTGATTTAGGATCGAGAAAAAGCCATGGAAATGAAGAAATGCAGAGCTCCGTTAATGAAGAAAGTAGTAAAGCTTGTGTTCATCCATTACTTCTTACAAGATGTAAATCAGATCCAGCAAAAACAGGAGAAAGGCTTAATCCAAGAAGGTTTAGTGATACTAATCCTTTAAGTTGATTTTTTTAAAATAATTTTGAATTTTTCATATTATTATTGCAATATACTTGTACTATTTGTTTACAAGAAGTATAACTAAAACTTGTTCTTATTGTACTTTAATTTTTTAAAATATTTTTCAAATATTGCAACTGAAATAAGGTTAGTTCAGTAGTAGGCTGAAAGATGAAATGACAATAAAAATGTTTTTTTTGGTACTATGCTTTAATCTCTGCTATGCTCAGCTCAGCCCATTCCTCAAGGACTTTTTTTTAATTTTTATTTATTTATTTTTACACTTTTTTTTGTGGGGTGGGATTGGAGGGGTGGGGGGTTGGATACATTTTTAAAAATTATTTACCAACATTTTTGAATTTTGTTTAGTTTTTCTTTGCTTTTCTTACTCCATGCATCGCGAAATAATTGTCATGTTTTATTTTTTAAGAGTTAATTAATTAATATTCTTCAAAAAGTGGATTCATATAGAACATTGTGATACGATACGAATATGGTATATGAGAGAAATATGAGACCCAACTTAAGAAGTGTTTGCATTCTTTTGGAATGAATATATTAAGAAAGAATCTAGAGGCTCGATTTGACTTATATGATCGCTAATATAAATCGAGGAGTTTGAGTCTAAATCGGTGAATCAAAATTACTGATAATGTAAATTGAGGAGTTGAGTCTAAATCGGTGAATTGAGTGATTGATCTTTAGAGTTAAATCAATTTTATATTCTAAAGCTAGAATTTAAATATTAATAAAATAAATGAAAAGTATTACAAATTGTAATATCATTTTAATATGGTTTAAAATATATATTGAAATTTTATTTAAAAAAAGTAAAATATAACAAGTATTTTGAGACGGAACGAATATTTTTATTATAGGTGTGTAGTGTGTAGTGTGCAGTGTGTAGTGTGGAGTGTGAACTTATTTTAAAATCATCTTTGGATGCTCTGACTTTCAGAAATTTATTTAATTTTGTGGAGTATAGAATTTTAAGTATTTATTATCCCTCTTGAAGATTCAAAGATACCACCAACCTCACGAGGACCATTAATATATATAATTTTTTTCTTTTTATTTTTTCTTTTGTATTCAAGTGTACTTATAATTGAATAAATCTTGTAAATGTATATAATTTTTTTTTTATAATAGCAGTGTTTGAATTAATTTGCATTTAATCTATTATTCTATCGAATCTTTGCTACTTCTTAATAAAATATAATAAGTACTGAGTATTTAATAGGAAAAATCACTGAATATATATTTTTTTAATTCCTAATCTCGATGTCATGCGTTCATTTTAGTGACTACTAAATCATACCTTGTAAGCGAAATATATATATGGTTACACTAAGCAGAGGTGGACCCACATGGTTTAGTAAAGGTGTACGTCCATTCATTAACTTTGAAAAAAATCATGTGTATATATCTATATATCTATCTTAAAAAAATGACGGAAAGTAGGATATAATTAACAATGCATCCATAAAGAGCAAAGGAGTGCCCTTGTGTTGCTAGCACAAGATAGTAAAATCACCCACATGGCTAGTGCTTATTTCTTTTTCTTTTTTTAAATTTAGCCTAGAGCTTATATTGGTACATTCAAAGTCTTCGAAACTTGGATTCGCTTCTGACACAGTTTATTTTAGGGATCTTAATATCTTTAAGTCAGCTGATTAAAAGACAAATTCATCCGCTTAATTATAATTATTAGTAGCCATCATCAATATATACTCAACAATAATGACATGCCACTATAATCTTATAAAGTGAAGTATGACAGATAAAGTGTAAGCAAACTTTATTCTTACAAAAATAAATACACTATTTTTGATAATTTTTGACTCGTGGAAAAACTAGTCTAAAAAGTCTAGAAAAGATAATATTCCATAGAAGTATGAGACATAACATATAAAACAACTTGTATGAAGACAGTAACTACAATAAAATAATATGATAATCAAAGTACAAACTATAACAAAAATCGAAGAATAAGAAAGTACATGAGCAATAGAAAAAGATGACAAGACAACATATTGCTACCTATTAATCTTTTACCGTAATACATATCCTCACGAACTATCATCAATATATATTCAGTCTAAAATAAATGTATAATCAATATATATTATAATATAAAAATCCCTTTGTTTGACAAAATTTTAATAATAAATGCATTGATATTCTGTTCCCATTGACTCCAAAATACTGGATCTGCTTCAAAGTAGTAGTAGGGGCCTAGTTGGTTTATTTGTTTTTTTTTTTCTTTCTAGAAATATACCAAAAAAGTTGGAACATTAGTTGGGTTTGTTCTAGAATTTTGTTTTTACACCAAACTTAGATATTCAAAGTGTATTTTGGGACAATAGAAAGATATGTAAATTATGTAAGTTCAGGCTTTTGCATGATTGGTTTATTAAAAAAGGACAGTTAATTATTGCAAAAGCAATTTTTTATAAAAATATTTTTTTTTTGGTGTTTAGTTGGTAAGTGAAATATTTTTCAAAAAATAGAGTATTTTGGTGAGACTTTTGACTACTAGCTAGAGATTAATAATAAACTTTTTGATCAATATGAGTATTTAATTGCACTACTTATATTAATTAATTTTGAGGATAAAATAAAAAAAATTATCTTGACATATTTATTTATTGCTTTTTCCTATATGCGTTAAAATTGACCACTTTTTTTTATGTGATTTTGAATGTTAACAAAGTAGGCCATTGTGCATGACGTTATGAATATCCTTATATATTAAAAGAGGAAATTATGAGGACAGCATTTTCAACTGCATATATTGTTTGCTTCAATATTTAGTCCAAGATGTAATTTGGAGAGAGTTTAGCTAAGTTTATAATTAGATGATTAAATTAATTTTTAAATATTTTTTAATTATGATCATATATATTTGATAAGTATCAAAAGTTTTTTGTGTCATATCAACCAATAGGTCGTAAGTATTAATTGGCTATTCTCAATTTATAATTTTATTTGAAGTGGAGTATTATGTCCGGAAGATGAAAGTTACGAAAATAATGATGTTGAAATACATGTGTGGGCACACTATGAGATATAGGATCATAAATCAGGATATTTGAGACAAAGTGAGAGTGACAAGGTGAGGGAGCAAGACTAAGATGGTTTCAACATGTGAAGAGTAGATGTCCCGTGACAAGGTGTGGAGGGTTGGCAATGCATGGTTGATTTTAGGAGAGATAGAGGGAGACCGAAGAAGTATTGGTGGTGAGTGGTGATTAGACATAACATGACGCATCTTCAGTTTATCGAGGACACGACCTTAAATAAGAAAATATGAAGATTGCGAATTAAGGCAAAGGGCAGAGTTAGTTGTTAGTTGAAACATTGTCTCGCCTTACGATGGGATAGGTGTTGCTCCCAATTGCACACGCAAGTGTACGCGGTCACGCAAGTAATATAGTGGCTCTTAAAAAGACCAGATTATCGAACCCAAAGGACTTGTCAATTAACTATTTTTACTAAATTATATTGATCTAATTATTTATTTAAGAGAGCCAAAAAGAGAAGAATGCAAGAACAAAATAATAAAATTACTTACAATAGTTGGAAAATTCCAGGGCTGTAGCATGTATTGGATTTCATGTATCATATTTTTGGCTTAGAATTAATTTTAGTTGTCAAGTTATTGGTTTATAGGGTTGATGATATGATCCGGGTTATACGCTTCTCGTCGCCTACCCTAGTTAGCTATCTAACTACGTCGTTGAGCGGGGATAAATAGACTAACTGACGAGCATTTATATTTCATCCTATTTCGTAACCAAGCAAGGTGTTCGTCTAGGCGTCACTCCTAAACACTAATCACCTCAATTTAATGGGTGGACCGAGCTCTCTATATTCTCTGTTCTATCTAATCCCTCCTCTCTCGATTTTAAGATTAGACAATAGATTTATCTCATGGTGATCAAGCACAAAATACTAAAATAAGAATATAGAAGTAACTTATAATGACAACCAAAAATTAATTCATAAAGCCTTTAATAATCATCATTGAATCTGTAGCTACAGCCCTAGAACAAGGGCTTTAGCCACTAATCTCTAAGAACAGAAAGAAGAAGAAAGGAACCCTAAAAAGTATTGACAACTTTTTACTTGATGCCCTATGATTAATCCCCCAATAATTATTTCTATGGACTATTTATAGATGTAGAGAATCCTAAATAAAATAACTGAGTCCAAATCAAATTATGATTCCAAATTTTGTATTTCTTTTTTTTTTAAACTACTTAAAATACATATTTTTTCTTTATTAAATCAGGAGTATATCGAAAATTAATTTTTCTGTCTATTTAAAATTTAGATAATATCTACACATATGCATGCACTAGCCTCTCCGGACCCTCAAATATACAAAGACACGACACACGTGAATGTGTACAGTGACAACACAATTGCACAAACATAAAAGACTTATATGAGTAAAATAAATGCATGTCATGCAGTCGCACATTGTACAAAATATTTTTGGAATTTTCTTGGTGTCCATTAGTTATGAAAATTTTAAGATATGAATAGAAAATGATAAAAAAAAATAAAAAAAATAAAAAATAAATATATATATATATATATTTTTTGAATTGCATCAAAAAGACACTTATAGTGTCGTGTGATTTGCTCCTCTATTTGAGTTTATTGAAGTTTAATATAGTTTTCTACTTTTCTTTAAAAAAATAATTTAAAATTTAAATTATTACTAAATATAATAAAAATCATTATTTTTATATCTAAACAAATCTTTTTACCATCTATCGAAACAAACTTTAAAATTATAAAAAGTTTAAAGTTAAGGAATTACAATTGAAAATCACAAAAAAAAAAAATGTTTCAATAGATGGCAACATATTATAGGTAGATATGTTTTCATCAGGGGCGGCTCTTGCTTATAAAATTTAAGGCATTGGCCTTAGGCCTCCAGTTTTTGGGGGCCTCAAATTTCTACAAATAAAAAATTATCCCTCTTTAGTTTATAATTACATTAATCCCTTAAAAAGTAACACAAACTGGATACATAATATGTAGCTCGGATACATTAAAAACTAGCTCGGATGCATTAAAAACTAA